GAATTATTTTGGGAGATTAACTCAGTCAACAGTTTATTGCCTAACAACATGGAGTAAAGACAAAATAGTAAAATATTGAAGATGATAAAAATATTCATAGAGGAGTAGTAATTTTTAGAAAACATCTTCCTATAACATAATACATCAGTAAGAATTTATTGGAGTGTTTAGTTTCTTCATTTCACACAAAAATCATGGAATCTTTTGAATAATGCACATAGCTCAGAACTGGCTTATATGTTAGCAGATGGATTTTGAATTTAATATATCTCTTTTTCTTTAAATACTCTTGAAAGTAAATGAAATACATTCACTTCTTTTTTTTATAGTACATAAGACATGCAATTAACTTGTTTGAAGAGAGGGGGTTCTATAAAAAAAAAATTCCTTAAAATAAAAACATCCTAGGTGTAGTGTGGGCAATTCACATAAATCCTCCTCCTCATCGAAAATCATCATGGTACAATAAAAGGGCTCACTTTTTCTTTTGGTTAGAAAGATATAGTTTCATCACTCACCATAAGATTTTAGTTAATTATTTAATTTATCTGAGCTTACTTTCCTTTTCTAAAGAGTATAAGTAATAATCTTACCTTACAAGGCATCTCTAGGGAATAAGAAAATAAGTCTAAATTTCTCAGCTTATTTGTCAGCAAATACAATAATTAATGTACTATCATGTCACAGTAGTTATTAATAAGACTTCAAGCTGCTGCTGCTGCTAAGTAGCTTCAGTCGTGTCCAACTCTGTGCGACCCCATAGCCGGCAGCCCACCAGGCTCCGCCATCCCTGGGATTCTTCAGGCAAGAACACTGGAGCCTAAGCTATATATGCTATGATACCATATAGTTAGATGTGCTGAAATTGTTACATAAATATTTTTTAATTGATTAAATAGAATATAGAAATATCTAAAACACACCAGAGTGAGGTAAATAGGGTAAAAATACTTTGAATTCCAAGAAGTGAGAACTGCAGCTGGCATAAGAGGAAGCCGAGTTGTCAACACTGGGAGACAAGATGGCTGAGGGAAACCATCGACCATTGTTATTTTCCCAGTAATGGTTCATGACTCCAACAAATCTTCAGTTATCTTTCAGTTAAAATAATTTTTTCTTGCTCTGGACATTTTCAACAGGAGACTTCAAATGAAGAAGGAAACAATGGAGGGAATGAAGATTCTGACGAAAATGAAGATGAAGAATCAGAGAATGCCACCCTTTCCACTACCACACTTGGCTATGGAGAGATTACACCTGGAACTGGAGACATAGGTCTAGCTGCCATCCGGCTTCCCAAGAAGGTAACAATTCCTCCAAAATGTTCAATCTGCTTTCCTTTCTTTACTGAAGTCCGAGGTTATCCTGACACTATACATACAGTATTTTATATTATCTTCATTAACTTGATGAAAAAGTAAGAGCAGGTACAATATTCCTGTTTACAAATAAATAAGGAGAGATCTTTTCCTAGGCAAGATCTCTTCCCATGTTCTTACACTGACTTTTCAACATTATCACAGAAGACAAAGGCCAAGCATCTTAGCAATGGATAAAAAGTGCTGAGAGATACCACTGCATTTCTGGGAAGAGGTTTCCAAGGCAGAGAAAGCAGGTAGCAAAGCTATAGAAAGCATCTCCCACAGAAAAGACTTATTTATCAAGTGGCTTTTTTTCCATTAGCATCCAATGACAAAGGTACTAATTCTGAATTTAAAACCTCCACCAGGTTCTTTTGTAAGTTAAACTGGTTTCTATTCAAAATTGCATGTAGTACAATAATGTCAGTACAGAAAGCTTGTGTTGGATGAAACAATGGCCTTAAGTTTTATGTTTTTTTCACGCCTAGATTTGAATTCTTTCAAACTCTTCCTTATAGGCTGGGGCTACAGGAAAGAAGGCTACAAAAGAGGATGAGAGTGATGAAGAAGAAGAGGAAGAAGAAGAGGAAGAAAATGAGGCAGAAGTGGATGACAATGAGCAAGGCATAAATGGCACCAGCAGCAACAGTACCGAGGTAGACAATGGCCATGGCAGCAGTGGTGGGGATAATGGAGAGGAAGAAGGCGAAGAGGAGAGTGTCACTGAAGCATATACAGAAGGAACCGCAGTGGCTGGAGAGACCACTATTTCTCCAAATGGTGGGTTTAAGTCTACAACCCCACCCCAGGAGGTCTACGGGACCACCCCACCACTGTTTGGGAAAGCCACCACCCCTGGGGAGTATGAACAAACAGGCACCAATGAGTATGACAATGGGTACGAAATCTATGAAAGTGAGAATGGAGATCCTCGTGGGGACAGTTATCGAGCCTATGAGGATGAGTATAGCTACTACAAAGGGCGTGGCTATGACAGCTATGATGGTCAAGATTACTACAGCCACCAGTGAAGGCCCAGACTGGGATGAGTTCACCCATTCTGGGATTTTGTGTGGCTACCCTTTTCAAAGTTCAACTCAGGAAGGTGCAATATAACAAATGTGCATTTTATAATATGGAATGGTGCTACTGTTCCAAAGTGGTTTTCTGTAATTGCTTCTGCAAGTAATGGGCTTCTTATTGCTTTTCCCTAGTATATTATTGAAAGGTCATAAATCAGGGCTATTCATCAAGTAGTAAACCAATGCATGAGATAGTGTGTGACTGAGTATTTTGAGGTTGTAGTCCTATAAATAGTAATTTTAATGTGTTTCCACTAACTGCTAAAACATATTCTGTGCAAGAGCTGCTTCTTAGAAGAGATTAGATTCACTAACATTAGTGACACTGTATACAATAAATGTGCAGTTCTTTAATCACACTACCTGTCACTGTATATTAGGTTTAATTATCACTGTCATGTATTTTATGTGACCTGTATGTATATTGTATCTATGGATTTTATCACAAATAAAAATGCAACCCTTCAGATGTGTTATAATTATGAAGAAAAAATTCAGGATGGGAAAAGGTGAGACCAAAGGGAGAACAGTTCAGCTAAAGGACAAAAGTTTATTTCTACTATGGTTTAAAACTCAGGAATACTATAGACATTTTCTCATGGATAAATTAACTTGACTAAGATTTTGACATGCTTGTGGGCAGGCTCAGTCATGTAGATCATGATAAATAGCTTTTATTAGACTTGCCAGATTTTATGAATAAAAATGTAGGATACCTAGTTAAATTTGAATTTCAGATAAATAATGAGTAACTCATTAGTATAAGTATGTGCCATGCAATATTTGGCCTTTGTGAACTATTTGGGACATATTTGTACTAAATGAATGATTCATTATTTGAAATTTAAGTTTAATTGAATGTCCTGTGTTACATCTGGCAACCCCATACCTATTTGATTTGGTTTTAGATAGGGTAGGGGTGGGATGAGGTAGAAAACTCTTACACATACATCAACCTATCATCTCCTAATTTTTTATTATGGAAAAAGCCAAGTCTTCAGAAAGGTTGGGTAACTAGTACATGAGCACCTAGATTCACCAATGGTTAACATTTTGCCACATTTATCTCTATTTCTGTGTGCCTACCTTCATATGTGTGTGTGTATATATATATACACATATACATATATATACACACATATATATATATCTTTGCTGTTGTTCAGTCACTCAGTCTTGTTCAACTATTTGCAACCCCATGGACAGCTGCATGCCAGGCTTCCCTGTCCTTCACCAGGAGATGTATGTATGTATATATATATGGTGGTGGAGTCACTCAGTTGTGTCAGACTCTTTGCAACCCAATGGACTGTAGCCCACCAGGCTCCTCCGTCCATGGGATTTTCCAGGCAAGAGTACTGGAGTGGGCTGCCATTTTCTTCTCCAGGGGATCTTCTCGACCCAGGGATCAAACCCGGGACTCCCACACGGTAGACAGACGCTTTACCGTCTGAGCCACCAGGGAAGTCATATATATATGACACACACACACACACACATATATATATATATATATACATACACACACACACATATACTTTGCCAAACCATTAAAGAGTGATTGTAGACATCATGGAATCATAATGCTTCACCCTTAATACTTCGTCATTTAGTATTAGAACAAGGAATTCTCCTATATAGCTGCCATACCATTCTCATTCTCAAGAAATTTAACATAGATATGCTAATATTTTCTAATATGCAGTCCATTTTCAATTTTTCCCAATTATTCCCAAATATCATTTATTGATAACTCAGTGAAAGTGAAGTCGCTCAGTCGTGTCTGACTCTGCGACCCCGTGGACTGTAGTCTACCAGGCTCCTCCATCCGTGAGATTTTCCAGGCAAGAATACTAGAGTGGGTTGCCATTTCCTTCTCCAGGGGATCTTCCTGATCCAGGGGTCAAACCCAGGTCTCCCGCATTGCAGGCAGACGCTTTAACCTCTGAGCCACCAGTAAATCCTCACAAAACTTTATCAGATAGATTTTATTGTCATTGCCAATATTATTGACAAAGGGGCTGAGGAACAAAGAGATTAAGCAGCTTGCATCAGATCATTACGGCAAAACTGAAGTTAAGACATAGACAGCCTGGCTTTAGGATCTGTTTCTTAACCATGAGCCTATGTTCATCAGCAATGCTATATTCATTAGTATGTATTCATTAGGAATGGATGTTAAGCCATGAGTGGGCAGAAAATCTTTAATGATGAGGGCTTGTTGAACAAATAAGCCTTGTTCTCTATCACAAATTTCTTAGGACCAGCTATATTTTATGACTTGAGCCCTTAAAGAACATTTCCAAAACAAGGATCCTCTGATGTTTTTGGTATACCTTTCTATATAGGCTGTTTGGTATTGTGCAAAATGCATGAAACCTGGAATTAGGTGGGCTTGAATGATGGTGATATCAAGAGCTTCCTTCCTTAGTCTTTGTTCTCTCACCTTCTACATATGGAGTATACTCTGCCAAGTACATTGCTGTGTACACTGGATTGCTGTTCAGAATCCAGTACATTGTGAGATTACCCAGATCATCATAACCTCTCTCCTCTCCAGTCCTATCTTTCCTGTATCTTAACACTTAGGTGTATCTGATCGTCATAGAATTACCTGACCATAAAAACTACCTTTTGAGAATTCATAGAACTTTTTTTCTTGTCCTAATGAATCTTTGTAAGCAAAAACTTTTGATTAGATGGATGCCTTGGGAATAGTATGATAAATATTTATTAGGTGATATAGGTAATCTTTCCTGTTTATTTGTGACATTGTCATAAACCAACTCAATATATCATAGAATCATAAAATCTTAGATTTGGAAAGGATTGCTGAAATCTCTGAACTTTATTCATATTTTGACGTTATTCATTATTATATAAGACTTCCTTGTAGCTCAAATGGTAAAGAATCTGCCTGTGAGGTAGGAGACCAGGGCTTGATCCCTGGGTTGGGAAGTTCCTCTGGAGAAGGGAATGACAATCCATTCCAGTATTTTTGCCTGGAAAAATCCACAGAGAAGACTGGCAGGCTATAGTCCATGGGGTTGCAAAGAGTCGGACATGACTGAGCGACTAACACAGTCCACACAGTCTAGTCCATTGTTATATACAAAAATTGGTTAATCTTTCCTTTCATGTTTGTTTGTTTGCTTTGCTTTTGACATGTAATATGGGTGTCCACTGTTCTATCTCAGGGATTCAAGTTAGTACACTTCAGTCCCTGAGTGCAGAATGGTGACTGTTCTCCACCATTGCTCAAGCATGTAGGAATCTCCTTCAGACTTGCAGCATAATTTCTAAAGGAGCACTGTGGCAAGCCTTCACTTGGAGTATGCAGTGGTAGCATAGGAAAGATTAAAACCGAGTCCAGAAACTAGCACAACCGGGTAATCAGATAGTAAGGCCTGTATACCATCAACTACCCAGGGTCCATGGAGACAATGAAGTTCTTGGATGAAGACTGGGAGGTGGGCTGGTGAGGGCTGTGATTTAACACAGTCCCAGCACACCTTGTAGACTTCCCGAGTGGCTCAGTCAGTAAAGAATCTGCCTGCAATGCAGGAGGAGACCTGGGTTTGGTCCGTGGGTTGGGAAAATCCCCTGGAGAAGGAAATGGCAACCCACTCCACTGTTCTTGCCTGGGAAATCCCATGGACAGAGAAGCCTGGTAGGCTATAGTGCATGGGGTCAAAAGAGTCAGACATGACTTAGTGACTAAATCACCACGGCAAACCCTAATGATGCCCTTCATAGCTGCTCTCTCCTCTGTATCATGCAATATCTTCTGCATGGAAGCACTCTCTTGAAATACTTTTCCTACTTATGTGTCAGAGTTCCAATCTCTTCCTGCCATTCTATCTAGTAAGCCTCCCTGGCCTGTTGCTCCAAATTCCCTTTGATTTTCCCTACCAGAAGCTCTATTTTCTGTAATTCCTCATAGTATCTATTGAAGGCTCACATGGAAGAAACTTGATGCAAATTACTAAAAAAGGAAGAGGAACATTTTAATTTTTCACAGAGAAAGATAATCTTTCCCCCCAAGAATAAATCAAATGACTCCTTTGAATGGAGAAAAGATAAAAAGTGAAATAAATTATGCTTTTATGAGATGGTGGTGGTAATGAAGTTGGATATTTATATATACTCTCCTACACATAGAAAATTCTTTTTTTTGTTTAATGGTAGATAGCTGTCTGTAGCTGTGACTGAGATCCTAGGTGCCAATCAGTATCTGTTCACCCTTATTTCTCTGAACCCTGGAGGTTTTTAGCTAAGCCGGTGGCTACAGAATAACTTCTAATTTCTTCCACTTGCCTTGGAGCTAGATGTGTCCATTTGATTTCAGTTCTGGCACGATTAAATGTGCACAAGCTCTTGGTTGTCTCCCTCAAGATAGATGTTATTCTCTTTCTCTTCCTCCCATTTCTCCCTCCTATGGCTGGAATGCAACCACGGCAGTGAGCCATCTGTGACTGTCTTGGGATGACAAGGTCACAGGGTAGAAAAGGTCTGGCTTTAAGGAGCATGATACCAGTCCTGGACACCCAATCCCTAGAAATTAACTTCTATTTTTTTAAGCCACTTTGCTAACGGGTTTCTTCCTGAAAATTATATCCTAACCCAGTAGTTCTCAAACTGTAGCTATCAGAAGAGCAATATCAGTATCACCAGAGAACACGTTAGAAGTGCCAAGTCTGGAGCTCCATTCAAGGTCTGGTAAATCAGAAACGGGGGTGGTGGAGGTGGTCAGGTGACTCTCTTGCACCTTAAGATTTCAGACACACAATTTTCATTAATATCATGTTTATTAGACACTTGCTAAGAGTCAGTTGGTTTCTAAGTATGTTACATATACTACTTCACTTAATTCTTACAGTTACTGGAAATCAACTCCAATTCATTGGTAAGAGCACTGACTTACAGAAATCTTTAGTAACTTGGCTGAGACAATAGGGCTGGTAAGTGGAGGAAAGGAGACTGGTCCAGGGTTCATGCCCTGGGTACCTCTCAGAGCTTCTTTCTTCATACAGAAAGGATGCCCTGTTAAGATAAATGAATTTATCTGGGAATCAGAAGAGGAAACTTTCGATAAGAGCATGTGTAACAACCATAACAATGTTTCACTCCTTTGCCCTTCAGAGTTAATAAGATAAAACTTTACAGCTTTCATGTCATGCTCAGGTGATAAAAAAAAAATCCCTTTGAGAAAAGCAACTGGTAATAAGCAAGGAAAATCTCCTTTTATGCTGTTGCCAAAATAGGGTAATACCTTGTCCCTTTTGAGCAGTCAAGCATCCCCATATGGCAGTGTGATTCTAACAGGGCCATGAAGATCTTCCTGCAGCTACTGGGTTTGGTCACTGAAATTCCACAGATTCAGCCAGTAGGGAGAACGAGCTATGGTGGAGTCAAGCAGTTTCCACAAGAGCAAGAGCAGGGTCAGCATGAGGTCCTCTCC